AGTAGCATGGACAGAGAAAGGTGATGCGTACGCGTGGGGATGTGACACAAGCGGTCAACTTGGCTTGGGTTTGAAGGACGATGATGAAAAGGTAAGCATGAAGTAAGGCGTTCTCTATTATGAATGAAAGCTATATCTACAGATCGTTCCAACGCCACAGAAAATTACGTCAGCGCATTTGGATGGATACAAAATTATTTGTGCCTCGATTTCTGACAATCACTGTCTGTTTTTGGCCAAAAAAGCGTGATTTCACTGATTTTTTTCTAGAGTTGGCACGTGCAATAGTTTAGTTTCTACGCTAAGCATTATCGCACGATTCTTTATATACTGTATGTAATTGTAAAACTTCCATTTATGCTGCCATGTTCGAATTGTGTTTGTACATTTTATGGTAATCTATCGTTAGATATTACCTCGTCGTATTAGTTAGTTACATCCCGGCGCATTGTTACTTTTCCTGTAAAAACTAATGCTAATCTTGTTGGAGAGTTACTCTCTGCGTGAATGTTGTCGCGACCAATGTCCCGAAGATCTTGCTCGCATCGGCGGATGGGACCTTGGCCACGCAGAATGTGGATATTATAAGGGTCCACACACCCTCCAGGGGGGATTGTCACGCCAGAATGCTTTGAGTGGCAGCCAAGTGCTGCAGCCTGCCCCGGGTCTTGCTGAGGCCCTTACAACCCCCTTTGCTGAGGACAACATTGACCGTATTCGACGAACCATTCACAGCGACGACATGATGCAACTCTGGTGACGTGTCGAGGGCGCGCGGCGAGAGACGACAGACGTTAGCGTATTTTCTCACGCCGTTGGCGCCGGTCCATTTGAATCGTGAGAAAGCGTTCAATCGTAGCACTGGAGCGCGGTTTCCTTCCGGCGCATGCCATAACAGATGTCCAGGTCGTACGTAAGTCACGACAAATGTATTACCTGCCTCCTAAAGTGAATGATCCGTTTCCCATACTCCGCTGGGTTTTTTTTCTGCTTGATGTTGTTTTCTATCTGTATCTTTCAAAATAGATAGTGATTGTTTAAAAAACCAACTACTGAAGGTGATACGATTGGATACTCTTCCTATTACGTCATTTATGTTATAACAAACGTACCACTACATTAGTTCCTTTTATATTTTTTAGATAGAATCTCCTCCACAAATCACGCATTTTCGATAAAATTTAAAGGTACGGAACAGTGAAGCAGCTTTTGAGAAATGCCCTGCATTAATTATGTTGCTCTCTAGAGTGGAAGCACATGAACGTAGTATCAGTTTTGACATGACGTGCACAACTCCGTTTGCTACTACTTCACAATGACAACTCTGGCCGAGTCTTTCATCGTGAAGAATGGCAATGCTGCGAAAAGTCTAGAATTTGGTTTTTGTCAATTTTTTTTGGATCAATTGCCTAGGTACGCTGCTACTTGTGAAGGGATGCTGCACCAGAATGGTTAACTATTTTCTCGTGATAACCTAGTATTACGCAGTGACGTTTACCCACTCTACCGAATGACAAATTCCTCTGTCGAAGGGAAAAAATGCAGTGACACAGCAGAGAATCGGGGACCGTTTTCATAACCCAACAACATGCTTATACCATGGCACGAGTGCTTGCGGTTTGCTCCTTGCTTCATCGTAGTCTATTCTCCCTTCCTCCTGACTTTTCCATTATCTAAATTACACAAGTCCACTAGGGCAGAGCCTTGCCGTGTTTCCTTTCTGCACGTAAGTGTTATGTAACAATGATCATCATTGTGTTGGGTTACAGTAGCGAACATGGTTAACAAACCTTACGGCGAAAAAGTATACAATGGTCGTGATGTTAGGATATGAGTGTGAACCAGTTGAATGAGAGCCTCTTCATACTACTAAAAGAACCGTTCCGTGTCGTATTAAACTAAAAGCTGATCATTCTATCATCGACGCAACTACTCCTTTTGGCTATTTACCATTGCAGATTACAAATCCCCAAGTGATCAGCCCCAGCAGGAGTTTCAGGAGATCACTAGCTGCGATTAGTCGAGCTCGACTAGTGTAGCTACAGTGATTGTTGTGCAGAAGAATCTCGTCCTGTTTATGCGGGCGACTTTTTGGGACTGTTACCCATTCCCTGCTCTTGCTGCAGAGTTTGATCTTGATGAGATGGCCCTATTTTCTTTTTAGCAATATTTAGATCGGCAGCCTCACTTGAGGCCTGTGTCCATTGTTGTGGAGCCTCGCTGTTGATTTCTCTGGAACTCTTCACGAGAATGTTAAATAATCTTTATTGGCTTCTTCCAGAAAGATCTTCAATTTTACGAGGCCTCGAAAGTGCGCGTGTACAGGTCCTAACATACTAACAATTCATTGAAGTATTATCGAGGCGAGATACGGTGAGAGATCTTTCAACCACGTGACTGACGGGTTAACACGTTAACACAGGTTAACGTGATCCAATCTCATTGCTATATGTGCGACCTTCTTCATCCTTAGGACTGACCAGGAAGGTCTTTCAGGGCGTGACGAGCTTTTTGAAAACGGTCTTTTGCATGATATAGGGGCAGATGCGGGAA